CTCAGTTCCCTCCATTGACTGGAAAGGGAGCCTGTGGCCACAGCTACGTAAGATTAGAGGAGACATATCCTATCCTGAGTGCCCTAATTTAGGCAGTAAGTTAGTGACTGCTGTAAATAATTGTAGTTTTTAATTTTCTGTTCTTAAATTCCATATATTGGGTAATGCTTTTATGAAGTGTAAGACTAGAACATGTACTGTGACCTGTCTGTCATACTGGCATTTCTTTGTGAAACCCCAACAATTCAGTGAGGCTAAACCATTCCAGCATGTCTTATGGGTATATTGAGAGCAATTCAGGAAACTTTTCTTATCATGTCCCACATAGGAAAGAGAAGAATGGAGGAACTGATACATTCACAGATTTCAAGGCTTCAGCATATATGTGATTTGATGACTTGTGATGAGATCAGCCAGCAGCGTGACTTGTTTGCAACTAAAAAATTGCATCTCTTTTCAATTTGTCTAAATTAAAATTCCAGTCAATGGATCTTACTACATCTTTTCACGGAGATTGACTAGCACCTACTCTTGGACATCTTTTCCATTTGCAGGTACCAGGACACACTAATGAAATCAGCTGTGAAACTTCTCTTCAACAAACTGGATATCCCAAGCCCCATAAGACACCTATCATAATGCTAACTTCTCAGCATCTAGATTACTTTCTGTGAGACTCCTTTGAACACTTTCCAGCACTGTGGTGTTGTAAGCAGATACACCACATTAGGAAGCAAATTACACCAAATTAGTGTTACAGTAGTAGATGTACAGAGGTGAAGCAACTTCCTACCTTCTACTTTATATTCCCCTTTACAGACCCCTGAAAGGTCATGCTAATCCCTTTTGCCATACCATTTCACCAAGGTCTCCTATTCAGACAGTTTTCTGTACGTTGTGATCGTGATCCTGTGATGACTGCTTTCCAAGGCATTTTTTTAACATGAGCATATAGCTCGTATTCTTTTTTTTTTCCAGATGTATTATGGTGCAGTTAGCTACAATGAAATTATTTTGTTTGTCTGCAAGGCAAATCAAATTGATCTATAACAGGAAAGTAATGCCGTCCTTTATTAAAGTCATCTGTTTGTTAACAGCAAGCTTTACATGAATGTCATGGTCTGATTAATCAATAAAAATGTTAAATAATCTTTCACCAAGAGTCCTTGGGCGTCCCATTAGCGTCACTCTAATTGCTGATATCTCCATAATCACAACTATGTTTTGAAATCTCTCAGTGAGCCAATTTAATGCTTCTGCTGCATGCCCTGTTTTTTCCACGCAATGTATGAATTTCAGCCAATGCAATCCTGAAAAAAAAAAAACCAAAAAAGACAGCAACTTCTTGATATAATTTGTTTTCTGTGAAACCATGCTGCATGCTGGACTTTTAGTCACTATATTTTTGTTACTGTGATGAAAATATTTCCATTTACATATGTTTATATCTTACTATCTTAAATCCTTTTAAAGTTGGATTTTAATGTAGTTGCTCATATAGAATACCTAGTAGCTGAACTGCATGCTAATAAGTCATTAAGAGTAAGGTCATGCAGCTGAAGTAGAACATTCAGGGTCAGAGGCACAAGTGAATGGCGATGCGCTCCTTTGAGTGGGTGACTAAGATCACCAGTTCCCACAAGCTCCTAAACTTACAGGGGCGACAGTGGACCTTGCCATAGCGAGGCATGCAATGAGCTGCAGTGATTCCCCGTCTCAGGCTTTCTCTCCTCTGTACTCCACTGCGTGACAAAGAGATCAGGTTAACACTTGCCAAGAGAGACGCTTGGGCAACTCGGGCTCATAGACACAAGCCATCCAGACTTCTTGAAAGGTTTGAGTTGGAAGCCTCTCAAATATGCTGCCACTGATAT